CGCTTATCTATCCTTAACAAGCAGAAGGGAAGGGAAAAGGATGGCAATTTTATCTATCAAGCGAAGAAATAGTGCTTGCCTGTGCCTTACTCCCTATTACCATGATAGCGGTTACCCAGGTCTTTACTTAACCCTTACATACCCCAACAGAGTTAATATTAAATTAATACTTTTCTTAACTCATTGATTTGTTTTATTTTTAGACAATTGTGGTAGTTGATCATTCGTTTAGATTGCAGTATAATCCTTTGTTTTCTTTACTTCATTTTTGCTTAGCTATTGAACTTGATAACATTTATACAAAGAATATTGAATCATTTTTTCTTTCAATAAGCCACTCAGGTCAGAAGAATTGGGAATCTGAGTCAAAAATCTGGTTTACTGAAGAGCTCTTATACTCTTTAACCTTTTGGTTCTTACAGGAAGGAGACAGCAAAGAGTCCATTGAAGCAAATGAGAAAATGTAAAATTAGTGTTCCAGTTGTCCTCTAAACATAGTACTTAGTTTCCTAATGTATATTCTCTTTCTTCTTGGAATAGCCTTTCGCTCCTCGGCCTAGCTGACCCTACCACTCTTCTCATGTCCTTCAAATCCTTTCTTCCCTCCTTGAAAACTCACTTTTCCATTAATTCTTATATTGCCTTCGTCACTAATTTCCTCATCTTGTCCTCCTTTACTAAATTGTCATCCATTTCTCTACTCTTTCTAAAATATTGTATATGTTTGTCATTCTATATATACTACTAGTTTCCTCCTCCCCCCACTCCTTTTACAGACATTGATTAATAATAATGAGGAAGTACTGTATATGAACAATGATTGGGCAGAGAATATGCATGATGGAAAAATAGATGTTTGTTGTTAGCTTTCCAGGATTTGAGATAATCACACCTTTTTAATAAGGGAGGAGAATGAACCCATGGGAAATCATCTAAATTAACCTGAATCAAAAGTATACAGTACTGTTCTTTAATGATAGTATAACTTCTGAATATCACATTAAAAAGCCAAAGAATCTCCAAATAAACAATGAAGATCAGTCTTGAACATTTTTGACAATGTTTAGCAATAACATATTCATCTTTTTTTTTATAGACAATAAAAAATAAAATTTTAGATTTCTTGAATCCACTGACGCCACAACTTGGAGTCCAGTTAATATCAGCAGTAGCAGCAGTGTGGAACAGCAAAAAAGCTCATAAGAATCAAAGTAAAATAAAGGTGAAGTTAAAGAAATGTTAATTCATATGATCGTTTCTTTTCTCATGAAAAGACAGAGGTTTTGTTCCTAGGTTTACTGCGAAGACCCTCATGTTTTGTTTTTGGTTTTTGGTTTTGTTTTGTTTTTGTTGTACAAGTGACAAAGACAAGCCATTAGATAAGAATTTGAATTCAATATAATGGTTAAAATTTAAAATGTGAAGACTATAAGTAAATGGAACAAATATAATCAAAATAGGAAAAATAAAGATTTTAATGTGTTTGCATGTTGAAGAAGAAAAATACTGAAAGAAGAAAATATTTTACTTAGAGAATGAAGAGACCATTTGTCTGGGGCACGACTTTTGTAACACAACCTGTGACGACTTTAGGACTTTTTCGTTGTGGGGGGAAAAGAAGTCATGGTGTCTGTCTCGCCAGCCAGCCTGCTGCTGAGGAAGATTAATCAATGAATTTTTACACATTTAACTCTATATCTGCAGAGTTATATGGGTTTTTTTCAATATCTTAAACAATTAAATATTAAATGCCTTAAACCATTTTTATTGTAGGATAAAGAATTTATCTTTCTTGCAATAAATTTCCCATGACAAAAAAAATCTTACTGGCTTCCACTTTTCTGGTCAAATATTTGGTGTTGGAAACGGAAATAGAAAAGTTAATTAAATACAATTTTTTTAATTTATATGCAAACTAAAACAAGACTCTCATTCTGCACATTATTACAATCTATTTTAAAACCTTATTCCAAATTTAAATAACTACAGCTGTCCAGAGAGTGACCTTTCTCTTTTGTGACTACTTTCAAGGTTTAAAAATTTGTTTTCATTCCACGCTGCAACAAAAACACTTTTGCAAAATGGAATTGTCAAAATAGCTGTATTCAGATTGAAAAGCTCAACTTTTCAGTGTGTTTTCTCTCTCTCTCTGGTCAGACTTGAACAAAGAGCACACGGGAATCACAAAACCCTTTCCAGCAGACACGTAATTGAAACTATAAATCTCTATGAAATGTTTTGGCTTTGAAACAGCATGTTTTGACTAAACATTTAGATGAAAATGTTCTGACCAGCTTTAGAAACAACTGCAAAGGAAAAGCTCTTGGATACCAAGCTCCACTTACATGCATAGATGCAAAGAACGATTATCAGTAAGCACTATGTGCCAAGCCAAGTCCGGCACTTTAATACCAAGCCATTTTAAGTTGTTGGAGCCCAGACAATTCCAGTTTTCCTCCATTGCTGTCCAAGACTCCAGGTCAGAAACCTTTCCAGAGGAGGAAAGTTAGAGGTAGCACCCTCTGGAGCCAAACATGATTACTAAGTACAAGCCCTCTTCCTAATCCGCCTTAGTCTGAGTTCATTGCTTCATTGTGCTCCCAGCCTGTCAGGGCAGGACAGAGAGAGAGTGAATGAGACCCAAACTCTGATCCCCTCCGGGATCCTTTTCACCTATTTGAGTTTCATATGTAAGTTTGCACATGGTTAATAATGTGAAATGCTGTTTTCCTCCATCATTCCCTGGTACATTGAACTTAATGATGTTTGTGTCATTTAGATTCTTCCAGTGGCTAGTGCATCTCAGCTTATTCTTGTGGACTTAGTGTGTGCACTTAACACTCTGAAGACTGACACTATATTACAGCTGGTAAAAGAAGTTGTCAAGAAACCATCCCAAATCAAAGGCGAAGAGGTAACTGCTAAAATAATATTCAGCTTTACTGTCTTCCTTCTTCCAAGGTGTCCCTGAAAAAAATCTCTACTAACCTGAAAGAGGTTTTCAACATTCATTATTCTTTTTTTGTTACTGGTAATTATTAGAATTTGTTTCCTCATCATATTCTGTACCTGGTTAAAAGTGTACTCAATGTGTATACAGTTTCTGATTTTCATTTTACAAGAGTAGTCGTTGGTTGTTTTGTGTTACTTTGGCAGCACAAAGCTGAGGTAAAGCCAGTGTAACAGACTTCTTGTGCATTCTCCCAGCATAGAGGAATTTCCAGATTTCGTCAGGCGAGTATAGTGGTTTCAGCCCCCTTGCCCTCCGCAAAGGGGGCACGGGCAGGGACCCATTGTGTCTGTCTGATCACTAGTTGCTGTAACAGCCTGGGGTAGGGGGGGTTATCATCTGCCCTGAGGCTGCTCTAGGGCCTTTCCAGTGTAAAAAACACCTTGGCCCCACTCCATTCTGGGATACAGAAGGGCAAGTCACAAGGATCTGGCTCCATCTATTTTAAATTCATAGTTCAGATTATCAAAAATGAAATAACTCTAAGTATCTAACATATTTTTTTCCTTTTTATCCTATTGTATTTCTTGCATTTCACTCTGCTTGGATAATTTAAATTTTAAGTTTCCCTTCAAGATTATCAAACATGTGCCAAGCACTTCGAGAAAGAAAAGAGCTAGAAAAGAGCAATATAAGAACTAAGTATTTTGGTTAGTAGCTTCACTTTCTAGTTCTTGTGTACTACAATGCTGCTCTGTGTAGGCTCCAAACACTGAATAAAATTTAACTTTTTCATTGAAATCTTAACAAACATCAAAATATTTCTCTTCATATTAGGTTTGGTCCTCTTTAATTTGAGGCCTAAACTATGCCCCAGTACTCTTAAGCCATTGAAACATTGGAGCAAGCATTTGAAACAGAATTTACAAAACAGACACCAAAATTCTTCAGGTTTTTATGATGGACCAATATTTCCCTTCAAATTGAGTAACTTGCATAAAATAAATGCCTAGAAAGAGTAAATATGTGTGTCTTAAGGTACAGTTGTGTGTATGTGTCTGTAATTCAGCATAACAGAAATAGATACTTAACATTGGTACAATCATCCTGCCTATCAAACAAAAAACATGCTTTAAACAAAATCCAATCCTAGTGAGTGTTTTAAAACTCATTAAGTAGTAGTTTCATTAGTAAAACTTTTTGAGGGCCTTCCTTTTTATTAAATAAGACTGTTAAAATTGTAAGTGGAACTTTTAGAGACCTTTGCCATCTGGTCTGGTTATCCAGGAAATGTAGCTTTCAGAGCTTTTTACAAAACTTCACTTCCCAGATTCATGACAGCAGTTTGGCATAACAATGACTTTCAATTATCCTAGTTAGTGAGGTTGCTTCTGTGGTGATTCTGCTGTTTAACAAAGCTTGCTTTGAATTAAGCCAGCCTTGTTATCATGCAGAGAGGTTCATTTATAAGTGTTTCTAGAGCTTTGGAAGAATGTGTCTGGTGGAGAGAAAGGATGCGTCTTGTTTTATTCCAGACTTCCCTAGCAAAAGCTCTGAACTACCTACTATATCTACAGACAAGGCACAGCCTATCAGTCTCAGACTGGGAGACAGATTGCTCTCAGGGGGGAAAAAGCAAGTCTCACATGGAACATTGAGTCCTCTAACAGCTTAAATTTCACTTTGTTGTAAAGCAAGAACGTAATTCCTTGTTTTATTTTCAGAAATCTTCTCTAGTGGATATCCCAGTGCTGAAATTCAGCTATGCTTTCATTCAAAGGTAACTAGGTTCCATAAAGTGATTTCCATTTAGCTACAAATGCTATTTCAGCAACTAACAGCTAGCATTATTACTTTAGCTTTACTTTGACCTTCATAGCTGCTTGGCACAGGAAACCTTAACATCTACATTATCAGTGCTTAATGAAGCAGAACTGGACAACCACTACATTGTCAAACGACAGACATAAGATTACTGTGTGGCGTGGTGTTCTGTGATTACACTGATGTATTGGTGTTTGTATCCTCGTGACATAATGTCATCATGTACAGACACAACAGCATGCTGTAACCTTCTCAAACTGTTGTCAGGACATTATGCTGAAATTTTTGTATTACTTTTCTCCAGCTCGAACACTGTTCCCAGCTGCTGGAAAAGTGTATGAAGGATGGATACTTCTCCTCCTTAATCTCCTTCCAGGCTTTCTTAGGGAGGGCTCCTGGTGTTTCCAATTTATACTCTGCATTCATCATGTTAGACAGCATGGGGGTGATCAAAACTCTTCTTAGCATACATTGTGGTGTATGCATGGAACACCTTAGGATCTTAGTCTGCAAAGCCTTCTCCTCATTATATCATTCATGGAGACCCTCTTCTTCTTTCACAGCACTGGCATATTCCATATGCTCCAAGCCTAGCTTTAGTTTGCAGGACAACCCAAGTCAATTCTGTGTACTGTTTTGACTTCGATACATCAACACACTAATAGAATGATAGGATAATATAAATGTCATCGTGCATTGACAGGATATCATGGTACTTAGACACAAATACTATGGATAGTAGTTAATTAGACTTGGGGAGAACTAGAAGACTAAAGTTGGTGGGAAGCTCCTAGAGCCAGCACTATCTGTGTGTATGGCTGATGTATTGTTTGACATCAGACTTGCATGTTGTTTTTGGCAGACTTCCTGTCTCAGCCCTGCAGGAGAACTTTCAGTCATTGTTAGGAGTGCTGAAGGAATCTGTGCAATTGAACTTGGCTCCCCCTGGATATTTCCTGCTTCTGAGGTATAGCACAAAACAAGGTGGTTTGGTTTGATTTGATAGATTGAGTAAAACTATCCATATTACTAACTTGGAATGAATTCTTTTTCCTACAGTACTCTGAATGACTTTGTGACCAGAACTCCTAACCTGGAAAATAAAAAGGATCAAAAAGACCTGCAGGTACTGTATACATACACTTTTAGTTCACAAATCTGGCACCGCACTCTTCATTCTAAACCGAGATTAGCCCAAACCAACTCCATGTCTGAACATCCGCATACTCTGAGAAAGTTTGGGCATGGTGCAAGCCAGTAAGTAAGTGTGTAAGAATGCATAAAATATAATCTTCCAGCTAACAAATTATCTTGTATATTTTTGATAAAGTTCTAACATGGCTCAGGATGCTGATTGGCCAAAGCTGTATTCAGATTGAGTGTCTCTTGTGATGTCATCTTTTAGATTTAAATTCATAACACAAATATGATGTCACCACATCCCTTCATTTGCTTTATCATTGAAATTTTCAAAACCAAGTAGGAGAATTAGGTGCACTATTCCCATTGAAGTCAACGGGAGCTGTATAGCTATGTCCCCTAGTTGGCTTTGGCAATCTCAACAACTGTTTATCCATTCACCTATTATGGAAACAAGATGAGGATTAGAGCCGGATTCTTTTCTCCTACTGTTTCTCCTACTGTTTTGCCAAGATAGCTGAAGCACCACAGACTTGTTACAATCATCTTTGGCTCTGAATTTGAGATGAAATGTTGAAAAGTGAACCTTCTGATAAGCTGTGATTGTGGTGCTTGTGCTGCCCAGCAGATATGGTAGAGATGTGCTGCCCAGCAGATATGGTAGAGTGACTTCCTCCAGTTTTGCTTCATAAACTGGCCAGCAAGATAATTGTCTAGTGAATGCCTAGCTTCTTACAGCATTATCAAGAAATGATCTGATTTTTCTGGCAGCCTTGGAAGGGAAACCTGAAGTTTCCGAACCAGAGTCTCCATCCTGCAGTGAATAGCTCTGCTGCTCAAACATGAGGCTTGGGAGTAGGGTTTGGCCCAACCCTACAGTGGGAAGACTGAAATATGACCAGATGAATTCCCAAAAAATAAAACGACACTTTTAAATCACTCAGTTAAAAGTAACCAACATCCCCATCTAATTTAATACCACATGGAAGCCCTGTAGCTGAAGGGAAAGGAAAAAGCAGACAGGTTTTCAGACCGTACAGTTCAGAGCCTAAAGAACAATAGAGAGTACTGATGCAATTTTTTTGGAAATCTGAAGAACAAATTCAGAACATACAAGTCTTTGAGAGATGACTGCATTAATAAGCAGTATAATGGATACTTTGCAATCTTCATTTGAACCGACTGGATGATTACTCCACTAGAACTGAAAAATATCTTGATCAGCTGGATTCTGTGGCCCTCCAAGGAGACAAAGTTAAGAAACCTCAGGGGACAAAAACTCTTTCTTAAAACATAGTAACTTGTCAGGTAAAAGACTGGAAATCTGGAGAACCAGGTAAGAGTCCATACTCTGAACAATCAGGGAAATATGCAGTGAGTTGAAACCTGTGAATTTATCAATTATCGTAAGAATGAATCCTCTAATATGTTTCAAATTTGTGACCTAAAAAGGATGCCCGTCAAAGTATATGAGGGAAAATGTTGTGAGAGACATTTTGGGATTCAAACCTCCTGTTCACCATTGGGGTGTGTGGACCCTGATTATCTCATTAACAACAATACTATTGTATTCCTATTGGATGCTCCAGTTGTGCACTCTTATCCTGATGGCCACAGAAGCAGTGGTAGATAAGATCCATAAAGAATAAACTCATCATCTAGCCTGGATCAAGCTAGAAAAAAGAAACTTGTCAGAGGGAGTAATGGTAGCAATAGGATTCCCAATCAAATTGAAAATACAGCAGAGTCTGCAACAAGACCCATGCCTTCTGTGACCTAGATTCTACTAAACTGCTAATGTAAATCATTAAAATTTAAAACGCCCAGAAAGCAAATGAGGAAGTGGAAAGAATGAAGACATTCTAAACAGACTTGGTCTTGTGTGTGCTCAGTGTGTGCCAATCTACACAGGAAGTGAAAAACTGAAATAGGTTGCTTGTTTCTCCCTTTTTTAATCTTTGACTCTGCTATTCTCTCTCCAGTGCTTAGCTTTTATGCCACACTTGAAGAGAATGTTTGTCAAAAGGGAAAAAGTCCCCCTTCCTGTTGTGATTATAAGGATAGTCATCAAGAGTAGATTAATTATAGTGTTAGGTATTTTTTGTTATCATAGATGAATTTTCTTTTATATTACTGTTTTAGCCCAGATATGTGTGTGCATGCATACACATGTACATAATGACCTTTCCATGTAAAGGTATGATTAAGACCTGTACGTGAATCTACTCTAACCCAAAGCTTTTCTTTCTTTTTCTATTGTTCATGCCTACTACCAAATGAAATGAGTGACACTTTACTACCTGCAGAGTGCTGATAAATGTTTCTCTGCTCTGTTTGTTGTTACTCACCTCCATATACCTACAGATATGGTACCAGGTACAAAACACTGTGCCAGTTTCCAAATAAAACAAAAGCATCCTTGGGCTGGCCAGATCCCAATAGCTTTCACCTGATACAGTGTTGCATTGATTACTTTTCAGGAGGTGACCCAAAAAATCTTGGAAGCTGTGGGGAATGTTGCTGGTTCCTCCCTGGAACAGACTAGCTGGCTGAGCAGAAACCTGGAGGTGAAAGCCCAGCCTCAGATCTCTTTAGTTGAATCCAGTGCTGAAGATGACTTGTATGGTAAGGTTGTTTCTTAAGGATCCAGTGTCACTTCTGACCTTCTTGTCACTTTTCTGTACCATTTATTATAAAGTTTAGTGACAATCTGGCTTTGTGCTCATGTGAAAATGATTTTTATCATACCACAAATTACTAAAGAGAATGAACTGCTATTTAAAAAAAAAAAAAAAAAAAAACTAATGTGCACCAAAAGAGCATGTTATCTTCTCATTTAAGTAAAAATTCAGATATGTTAAATGGCATTCAGTCAGTATCTGTACATTATATGCACTATACTGGAGGGAAATATTAATGTACACATGTGTAATGCAGTCTATATACCATCCTTATAAATAAGGTCAAAAAGTACATAGAAACCACTTTTGTAATGGTAAAATATGTTGCCATTTATTGAACATAATCTGTAAGTTTTCTGATTTGTAAGAGGGTGATTTTTTTTTCTTGCATACTTAAATACTGAAATCCAATTTTTTTGACTGATCTCGATTAAGAGGTAGCATTTTTCTAGTGTGGTCTAAGAACAAGTCTGAAAACCAGGAATACCCGAGTTCTAATTGCAGCTCTGCAAGTCACTCACTCTAAGGAGTCAAATAAATCATTTTACCTCTTTGCTTCCTTCCGTTGTTGTAAAATGTCTTATACGTACCAACTTCATAGGGGTGAAGGTTGTGAGAATTGATTTGTTCATGCAGTACCTGGGGGAGAGTGAGAGAATTAAAATGCTATATAAATAGTAAGGCCAGCATTTTCAGACTTGGATATTTAAGAGTCAGTATAATCTTTGGGTGCTTGGCACCTTTTGAAAATTGAAACACTTTTTATTGTGGATTTAGAAGCCAAACAGTAGGCACCCAGGTTTGAGAAGTTAAACTTCAGTGGTGTTTTTCATGTTTTGGTTACATATATTGAATTGCTGCTTAGTGAGAGATTTATTATAATACCAAGTTTTTAAACAACTATTTGGAGAAGAGGTTAATAGGGTATAACTGTAATATTTTGGGGAAATTCCTTTTTAAAGAATTATACAGTTTTAGTTTTTTCTTAAATGAAAGTTAAACTTTAGAAATCGAGGAAATTCTACATTCTTCTTCAAATGCTGGTCCCTATGGGTACTCACTATGGTTGCACATGCACTTGAGACTGGAAAACTCTTCCATAGCAGTTGTTGTCAGACATCACCAGCGTGGTGCTCTGCTCTATCCAATGTTGATAAGTTGGCTGAGTGAATGTGTTCCCCCTGTGTGCTGCCCGGGCTCTGCGCAGATAGCTGACACAGCAGACCCCGAGAGAACCCCCAATGACCACAGTCTCCGATAAGGCACAAAGGCACCCAGCCAGGTTTATTGTCAAAGGAAGCACAGTAATAGTTACCCGCAGATTCTACAGGACATACTATGAATATGTGCCCCCTGACAATGGACCAGCTCAGTCAGTGGCGGGACTGTCCACTGCCCCCTAGGCTAGACAAAGACATCCACTCAGGGATGCATTCTTATACACAGGTACAAACAAGTTACATATCACTCCTGATGCATTGAGGTACAACCCCTCTGCGTGTTGGGGTGCTGCCTCTCTCCTGGTACATGTTGATTCGAACAAACAACTCTTATCAATTATATTTGACCCTGTCTTTAGGATGGGCCAGCCTGTTCCTCATTATCTCTGTGGAATGTGTTCGTACCAGAATGTTCTGGTGCCATCCTGGCACATGTTCATCCTATTAGTACTTGATACCTTTTAGATATGTGTATACGTGCAATTAGCAGCTGCCTTCTTGCCAACTTCTGTGAGCAGGGCCTGCCTCTGGCTCACAGCTTAACTTTGCTTTATATTAGCAAAGTCTTGTCCATTACTTTAGTTCAGGCCTCTGATAGCAAGGGTTTATGTTTCAGGGCCTCATCTTACTACAGCAGTGTTCATTGGTCTGTGCCTGTACCCTACTCCTCCTCATACTCTGAACCAAGGGCATAAAGGGTCTCACAGAGCGACCGCCTCTCCAGTTCCTTTCTGGAACAGACCATGTTCTGTGTCAGTAGCCTTTCTAGCGCTCCCACTTGAACTTTGTAAATAGTGTGTAAACAGTTTTATCTTTAGCTAGTTAGCTGTTAGTTAGCTAGTTCAGGGGTTCACTCCCCCCTTGTTCCTTATTGTTCAGGGCACCCAGTATGCCCCAGATTCCAGGCTTCAGGTCTTGTCTGCCTGTTCCTGGGTCTTCCTGGTTAGCAACTCCCAAGAGAGCTGGTACGTACTTACCTTGGGGAATCATATGTTCCTTCAAAATGTGACATCCGCCATTCCTTTTTCCCTTCTACCAGGCAGTCGCTGGAGTTTAGGCTCCATAAGCATGTAATGAAGTTGTCATGGGGCCCCAATATGGTCCTGGGCTGTCCCGCTCCTCTTCTCACTGACTTGAGCCTCTGTGTAGTGCCTCTCTGACACTGGTGCCCTCTAGATCGAAATCCTCCAGCAAGCGGTAGAGTTGTTGTTGTAATTTATTTATTAATACAGTATACCACCACAACAGCAATTTAACCATAAATTCCTTTATTAAATCCAGAGGTCAAATTATATTTATATAGCTGTTCCAAATGGGCCCTGAATGCCTAAGCAATTATCACATCTATACAGTAACATACTGTTATATGTATTGATCAGATACTTACAACAGGGCTAGCCCCAGGATGCTCAAACCCATGTTGGCTGGCTCCAACTGGACAGGCTCATGTTATGCTTATAAGAAGCAAACAGGATCTTTTTCAGGGGAAAAGGCAACACACTGCATTTATTGGAAATACAACAATTAGCATATGCACACACTCACACTCAGAGTCCCTCCAGTCAATGTTATAGTTACCAGTCCAGAGTCTGGATCAATCTAGTGGCCAGCTAGGTTGATCACGGGTAGGTAGGAGCCGGGTTCTGTCGTTCATGACACGATGATCCAGGGAAGTCTTGCCAGGACGAACCCAAAGTTTCATGGAAGGCACCCTGTTTATATAGTGATTTTCCTTCATTGGGACCAATGAGTTTTGCACCATCATGCTGTAATCAATTGTCGTTTGAGTGCTTGTTTTCTTAAATGGTTCTTCTCATCCTTTATCTTGTTCTTTCATTAAGTCTCTCAGGGAGTTATCCCAGGCTGGTTCTGATCACAGCTATATTGTCCCCATTGATAGATGCCTTTCTCATCTTTAGAGTCGTCAATCTGTCCTCCTTTGACATTTCAATAGGGGCGTGTTGCAATCTTTTGGCGCCCATACATCTGTCCTCGGTTCCTCCCTAGACCATCTGGTCCAGTGATGGCCTTCACGCTTATCTTCTAACACACACATTCCTCATTCACACACAAAACAGGATTGATTTACACATAGCATTTGAACCAAAACATCAAATTGCAATGCAGGAGAAAATAATCATTGCATTCTTTTACTTATTTTAAAATGCTAAACCTACAACAAAGTGGTGACCCTAAAGGTCTGTCACTGCCTTAAAATCAGCTTCAGACACAGATTTTGGCTGATGTATCTTTACTAATGGCCCATTAGGCCATTCCTTTCTGCTTTCAGAAAGGGTGGCTGGCAGGATATGGTCAAATCATACACCAATACATTTAATGCATGCTACATTATTATTATTTATCCTTCATTCTAAATTATACAAAATACAAACATAAAATCCTACTACTACACAGGCACTAGCCACAAACACTCTTAAGAGACCATTCTTTTATACTTGAATAAACTGAACCTACGTGACTATAGCCACTACTTCTTGAATCCTTTCCTCTGCTAAAATTGCTTAGAACCATCCTTGCTAATTGGGGCCTTTTCTTCAGACTTTCCTCTTATCTTCTCAGCCGCATTCCAGATCCAGTGTTTCCAATTAAGCCACATTCCAAGTCCAGTATTTCCAACCCAGCTGGCCATCTTTCAAAGCCTTTCCACAACTGCTAAGCATCTGCTCTATATGCAAACTTTACTTTAGCCAAGTGTGTGTGTAATTAAATCCCATACAAGTGCAAAGATTCAATTAAACAAAGGTATGAGGAGGGTAACGGTGAACAACCCCATAAAAACAGGGATAAATTGCCTCATAAGTCCTCTTTTAAAAAAAAAAAAGTCTGCTTCTCCTCTCCCCTTGGTATTAAATGAGACTCTTCTCCCTGGTGTGGGTGCATCTGGAGCTCACAGGGACCAGGGGCCAGCATTGATAGTACCGGGAACTACCAGTGCTCTAAAACAGTCTATGAAAGATGCAGGACTGATCCTTGCACCACCCAGAGACAGAAGGGATTGTTCATCCTCTATACCAGACATGGGCAAACTACGGCCGCAGGACCCTCCTGCCGAGCTCCTGGGCCGGGAGGCTCGGCCCCTGCCCCACTGGGCCCCCCTCCACCGCAGCCTCAGGGCACTGTGCTGCCGGCACAAATACTCTGGGCAGCCGGGCAGCGCAGCTGCAGAACCTGGCCTGACCCGGTGCTCTGTGCTGCATGGTGGCGACGGCGTGGCTGGCTCCAGCCGGGCGGCGCGGCTGTAGCGCCGCCAGCCACCGGCGCTCCAGGCAGCGCAGTAAGGGGGCAGGGGAGTTCGGGGAGTGGTCAGGGCCGAGGGTGTGGATAGGGGTCGGGGCGGTCAGAGTGCGGGGAACGGGGGGGTTGAATGGGTGCAGGGGTCCTGCGGGGCAGTCAGGGAGAAGGGGGGTTGGATGGGGCAGGGGTCCCGGGGGTGGGGGGCAGTCAGGAATGAGAGGAGGGATTGGATGGGGTGGTGGTGGACAGTCAGGGGTGGGGTTTCTGGGGGCAGTCAGAGGACAGGGAGCGGGGGGGGTGGATGGGCCAGGAGTCCCGGAGGGGGGGGGGAGGGCCGTCAGACGGTGAGAAGCAGGGGAGAAAGGAGATGGGGGTGGGGGCCGGGCCACACCTGGCTGTTTGGGGAGGCACAGCCTCCTCTAACCAGCCCTCCATACAATTTCCGAAACCCGATGCGGCCTCAGGCCAA